AGGACGTCATGGATTCTGTTTCCCAGTCTCACAGGGTATTGCACTGAGCCACCTACTGATATGGAATAATCAGAAAAAAGAGAAGAAAGCCATCAGCCGGCTGCAGCTCCTCCTTTTCGCTGTCACTGCTGGGAAGGCAGAATGGTCATCGGTCCGGTTCGGTCACGTTCCTGAGATGGACAGTAGCCCTACTGAGATACCAGCGGGGCCTGAGCACCCTTCCTGCCTGTCTTTACAAATGAGTGTGTCATTACTCCAGCAGCACTTCTACTTATTACGTAAAAGAGCAACCTCTGTCTGTGCACCAGGAGTGGGCAGGTCCGGCGCACCCTGGGAGGTCTGCACGCGCTCCGAAGCTGGGGAGTGCTCGTCTCCTCTGAGCTTTACGGTAAGCGCGGCGCGCAGAGCGACCACGTGGCGGCTGAACCCAGGCCGGGCGGGAATGCGCGGAATGCGCGGCGCGGCTCCGGAGCCGAGGCTCAGGTTCCCGCGGCGCGCGCGCTCTCGCCTCCCCTGTCTCCCCAGCGGGGCCGCACCCCAGCCCCCAGCCCCGTGTCCTCGGACTCCCAGGGCAGGCGATCCTAGCTCGATCACCCCGGCGGGGCGTGGGGACAGAGCGCGGCCTATCGGGCCCCTAGGACCCCGCACGCCCAGAACTCCCCAGCGGGTCCAAACCCGTGTCCCGCCACCAGCCCCGACAGCGCGAGGCCGAGGGACCCAAGGGAAGGCGTGCAGAGCGTTAAGTACGCAACCCCTCTCCCCGCACCTGGAACCTTACCCCGACCCCCACGGCAAGAGTCGAGAACCCTGGAACTCACAGACTGCCCTCAACTAAGACCCCGGCCGTCCCCGCACCCATCCCCAAGGCCAATTCGAAGGATGGAAACGTTTTCGGGCATTTCAAAGGCGCCAAGAAGCGGGCTGGAACGCACAAGGACCCGGGGTCCTCCCCGCAAGCACTCTCCGGGAAAGGACGAGGATGGGGGCTGCGGGGGTGGGGGAGTGACAAGTCCTGGAGGCGACGGAGCGGGTGCAGCGGGACCCAACGAGGGTCTTAGCGAGGGTCCTCGCAGAAGGTTTCAGAGGCCCCGCGGGCCTCCGCAGCGGCGCCCCGCTCCCGGGGCAGAGGCGGGGGGGCGGGGGGATCTGCTCAGCCACGGGTAGGCTTGGCCACGGGAGACGCGGGAGGGGTATGGCCTCCTAGGTCATTATCCCCACCTCCCGCCCGATTCCTTCGCCTTGGTTGGAGGTGGTTATCTAATGAGCCTGGGCGCCCACTCCGCGACCCTTAGTTAGAGACCGCGCAGGGGCCTGAGCCAAGAGGCCAGGCAATTCCTGGTGGACTTTCATATTGCTCAGGGCAGCAGGCGATGCGTTCTGAGGGGCGGAGGTCAAGGAGTTAGAATCTTCTTTCATCCCCAAGAGTGCACCGTCTCCCTTGGGATCCCAGCGGCGTTGCGGGAGCCAGCACCCTCCCCCCCCCACCCCCGCACACACACCTGTTGGGGTTTGCTTTCATCTCCCGCGCACACCTAGCCCACGGCCTTAAGAGCTGGGGGATGGGTGTCCCACCCTCGCAACCTGCCCGACCCAAGACTGGTGCGCAGGGGTCTGTGTGTGGCTGAAATTAATTGATCAGAGGCGGAAACGCACGTCCGGGGCTTGGGGCGGTGGGAGATGCGGCTGCCCCTGTTCCCAGCGTGTGAGTGTCCCGGGTGGGCCCGGGGCCAGAATTTGCTCGGGCTCGTTCCGCAGCTTTGGGGGGGGCCGGGGATCCGCGCCGGGTAGCCGGGGCGGAGCTACCTCAGTACGTGGACCGCCACACGGCCCCCGAAAGCGAGCACTGTGGGGGAAGTGGAGCCCGAGCGCCCCCGGAACCCCGCGGTCCGCATTCGGAAGCGTTTTCCAGAACGACTTAAGGGCTTAACAATGGAAAACTCGCGGAGCTGGAGCCAAGTCCTTTCAAGTCGCCGCCAGGTATGCGGCTGCAGGTGACCCCACCTGCATGCGCGCGCCCGCCCGCCGCCCAGTCCTCTCGGGGGAGGGCGGATGCCGGAGGTCGAAGCCCGTGGAAGGTCTCCACTGGGCCCCGCACCCCCTCCCCAAAGCCCCCGGCCGGGCGGCGCGCAGCTGCGGTGCGTCCCGAGGTCGGCGCCGCGGCGCGCGGGTTCCTGAATGAACGCGCTCCCTTCCCCCGCCTTGAATGAAGGTTCCCACAGCCAGGGACGGTGGCAAACGCGCCTGCCGCGGAATTCGCCCTCTCGGGGCCGGTGATCCTCCCCGGCCGCGGTCACCTCGGCGGGGGACCAGGGGACGAGGAAAGTGGGAAGGTGATATAAGTTACTTTTGGATTTTCTTTCCAACCAGCGTGGTCTCCTTTCCGATTGGGCCACTGGCCCTTTGTTCCACAGGGTCCCCAAGAAATAGCGCAGAGCACTTTAAATGAGCCCAGAACGTGCAGTTCCTGCTTCGCGGTGGGTATTTTAAAGGCCTTGCAAAATTAAAACTTAAACAGTAAAGTTTTTAAAAGTTGCTTTTCTCTCTGAAAAAATAATTAAA